ATGAGAGAGAGTCATTGACTGGCTGCCTCCTGCATGCCCCACAGTGGGGATGGAGGCCGAAGCCCATGTGCCCTGACTGGGAGTTGAACTGTGATCTCCTAGTTCATGAGTCAATGCTCAACCACTGAACCACACCGCCTAGGCAAGAGGGACTTACTTTGTAGATAAAATTGTTTTTTACAGATTTGAATAAAGTTGCAGACAGAGTTAAATCTGATAGATAACATCAGCTATTGCTTTATATCTGACCATCTTGAAATTATGAATAAAGTGTCTTAAGAATAACATTTTGTACCAAAACTTTTGCTAAGTTAATAAATAAGTAATAATAACTGTGATTAAAAATAACACTAATTGAATGGTTAGTGTATAGCCCTTACAAAACTAAATACTGTGAGTCACTCTTCACAATAAAGTATTATTCATTATAGATAAAGTAATTGAGGTAGAGGACATTTAAGTAAAATTTCAATAGCATACCCAAATGTCACAGCTAGTAAATGGCAGATACAGAATGCAAATCCAGGGAAGATGTCCCAGAGCCCAATTTCCTAAACAGGTCTCAGTCTTTCTTCCCTCATTTAATCACATGCTATAGAGCAACGTTGAATTTATCTCATCTGATCATTAGCTGTTGACCTCTACAGATTTTACCTTATCTCATTAACACCAAGCTGTGAGTGCTCTTCAGTGGGCTGAGTCCTTTAAGATCTGGCCCTGGGCTGCATTACTCACTCTTCACCTCACACATTCTACTCCCTGCATTTTCTGTTTTATTTGCTTAAAGGAAATTTACTTAAAGTTCTTTATAACTCTCCCTTCCTCACAAAGGCATCCCATGTCAGCCTCACCCTGATCACTAATCTATCCTCTCACTGTGCTTTATATTTCTTTCATAGCAACCATCACTATGTAATTTACACACATGCACACACAACTCTGTGATTGTATGTGTCCCCAGTGCCTCCCACCCATGTAAATTCCTTCAAGGTAGGGACTTTATTTGCTGATATATTTCTAGTGTCTACTATCATGCCTGGCATACGCAGGATATGTAGTAAATATTTGGTGAATAAAGAATTTCAGTGACTGAATTCCATGTGAGCTTTCCTGGATATTATCTGACTTTACAGTATACTTAATGTACTTCAGGTACTCAATGTATTTTCTCCAGCATTAACCTATTATCTTAGTTTAATCTTCTAAGCCTTGACTAACTCTTCTCTTTGGATGAGTTCTTTCCATGGAAAACATCACAAAATGCATCTCAGGACCTGACTCACAGACCCTCGCTATACCTAGACATGTCTGAATACAGGACCTGCAAAGCTTAAGACCAAGTTCATATTCTGCTTGGTCAAACTGAGCTAGACCCAAAGAAGTGATTCTGATTTTTTTTAACCCTCACCTGAGGATATTTTTTTCACCGTTTTTCAGAGAAAATGGAAGGAAGGGAGAGAGAAGGAGAGGGAGAGAGAGAGATGAGAGAGACACAGTGATTGGCTGCCTCCCGCATCAGGGCTGGGGACTGAGCCTGCAACAGAGGTAAGTGCCCTTGACCAGAATCAAACCCAAGACCCTTCAGTCTGTGTGTCGACACTCTAACCACTGAGCCAAACCAACTAGGGCTGCTTCTTTTTTTGCAGCTTTTGAAAATTTTCTTTTGAAATTGCTTCAGAGGACTTGTAACTTGCTAGTCTGGGTCACTTAGAACAGGCTTCGAGGGAAGTTCATTTTCTGCTTCCTGGCTTTGCACAGGGACCAGTGGTGCACTGGTCAGGTACATACAGTCGTGGTCAGGTACATATAGTTGTTCATCCTTGCCACTGCTTCACTTCTGGTTTTAATTATATGAACCTTTTTAATTTGTTTTTTGTTGTTTTCTTATGTTTGCTTTTTTCTATCTCTCTATTCATATATATTCTGATTTGTTTCTTTGTGGGAAGGAGGCACAGATGGCAGTTTTCCTCTGTGTTACTTTTCCACGTAACACTTCTTGTTGTTTAAGGTGATCATAGCAACCTGGTCCCTAGAGTAGGATGGGAATCCTACTGAGTTTATACTATCTTGCTTGAAAGGACCTAACAAAGATCTTATTCTTATTTCCCTTAAAAAAAAAAAAAAAAGCACAGAAGAAAAATCCAGGTTGAATAATAATATCTAATTTTATTTTTACTTACTCAAATATGTATTTTCCATGAAGATATATTATCAGTGGCAGTTTTTTCCCCCAAAGTTTGATCTGTATACCTATCATATCAGAATAGCTAGAGCGTCTTGTCACTGAGCTCCCTTACAGGCTTAGTGAATCTCTAAGTCTGGATAATAAACCCATAAATTTAACATGCTTGTTAGATGTTTCTCTATCACACAAAACTTGAGAAGTACTGATCTGTGGACATGTTACTATGAGAAGATTTTAAACATTTTTCAGTGTCTTAAAAATTTGCAATGTGGTTTATATTCACTCCATTACCTCCATTTAAAATTATTTTTAAAGTGTATTTAGTTGGTATTTGAAGAAATTTACATACCAAAATACAAGTTTAAAAAAACACATTTGTGTCTGGCCTGGCGTGGCTCAGCAGATGAGCATCGGCCTAGGATCCAGGAGATCATGTTTTGATTCCCGGTCAGGCAGCTGATCAATGACTCTCTCATCACTGAAATCAATAAACATATATTTAAAAAAGCCCCACAAACCCACATTTGTACTTTTTAAGTTTTGAACTAAAAATGCTACATTTTTAGTTGGTATATTTATTGGATGGTAGCTGCAGAGATTCCATGATATTTAATATTTCTCATCAATATTATGAGAAATATTCTTCATTATGTAGGAATATGTGGTATATTTATGGTACTATGTTGTTTAGGTTACCAAATATGCTTCCTGTGGAACAATGAATAGGTAGGCATAAATCATTATTCATTGTAGAAAATTCAATGTATCAATCAAGAATAAAATGTTCTTTTAAGGGTGGTATAGACAGATTCCAAGAATAATCTTCTCTCATTTATCATCATTTTGAGAAAAATATTGCAAACCTGTATCTCTAATCCCATCTATAATATGTAACAGCATGTAAAATATATCTTCAATTTATTTGACTGCCTATATATGTCACAAGTTTTGATATATTGAACTAATATCCTTTTTTTTATTCATAAACCTATGGCTTGGGGACTTTTTGTAAACATATTTGATTATTCTACTGAAGAGATTTCATTCAGTCTTTTTTAATATGAGCCTAGCAGTGCTGGAACTCTTGCTCTTTTTAACATTCACTGATATTAATATTAAAATTAGCAAATGATGGACATAAAATTATAATAGCAAAATCCACTCTGTAAGATTGTATTACTGATAGAAACATTGCTAGTACCTTTAATCATATTAGTGGTCACTGGGTTATTATTTACTAGATATATTAGGAATGCGCTCATTGATATGACTTCAGACAACACGTGACTTGCCAATCCAATTCATGTAGAACTAATGTAATGTTATTTGGGTTCAGTTATTTGAGAAAGTCTTGTGTATATCATGGCCTAGGAATGGCAGATAGATAAAAACTGTAGAAATCTTTTTTAATTATCTGTGAACTATAATACAAACTTCTACTTAATAAGCAAGTAAAAATTAAGCACAAGCTGCCAAAAATGATGCCGCTCTTATTGTCCCTTCCTTTCACCGAGGCATAGAGGTTCATCAGCTCCCTGAGCTCACGGGGAAAAATTTAAGGGCTTCATGGTATTGTCTACTACATCCCCAGCATTCCTACTTTCTGAGTGGTGGAAAGCTTTTCTTTCCTAGGTGCAGGAATTCTATTCTTCAAATAGTTTGAACTGTCACAGGCTATAACTAAATTGTATTATATTAAATTATAACATATTTTCTATATAACATTATTTATAAATTACTATTGTATCATACCAGATGTTAAGAGAAGTTTCTTATATGAAAGAGAGTCCTATGCTAAGAGACAGAAGGCTCTGATGTTATTTCCATTTTGAGGGGGAAGTATTTTAATACCTTTGAATACCTTCTCTAACAATCCTTAAAGATTTTGGTGAGTTTCAAAGTAGAGTATGCATTCTATAGAACTTTAGAAAAAGAAAAATAATTAATTTATAATAACAACATGCTATATTTTACTAATTAAACATTCATATTGCATGCATGTTTATGTTCTGTTTTGTTTTTTGGGAAGTTTTTGTGGGTTTTTTTTTGCAGTTTTAAAACGTGGTGAATTCTTTGGAAAACCGCCCCAGAGTTGTATTTGGTTATCATGGACAGATCAAGTTATCACAGATACAATTAGAGTCTGAATCCTTATAAACTTAACAGTCCAGCGATGTTGTATGAATTGAGTTTCCTCCTATATTTATGATTCAATCAATCTCAAGGATCCTGAAAGTGCTTTTTAAAATTTTACATGAAGCATTTCATAGTGACCCTTAAATAAGACATAATTTAAGAACACTAGATTACATGAATAAAATGCAGTCCACAAAGAACCATCTTTGAAATAAATTTCCTGTTTCCTTTATGCTAATAAGGCCACAAAGAAAAATAATAAATAGAAGCTTCCACATCATAGTAAAACCAACCATATTGAAGTAGCAGTATGATTACTAAAAATGAGTCTTCAAGCTATGACAATATAAACAACATTTACTATGTTAATTGTAACCATGTTTGAAATTATGTGAAAAAATATTTCTAAGGCTTGTTATCTATTGTGGTACATGGAATCACAAGGCTATTTCATAACTGTGGTTTTGAAATTCAAAGAAAGAGAGAAGAAAGTTTTAATATGTAGAACACTAAAGTTGAGTAGTTTGATGTCAACGCAATGAGAAGTAGATACAGCAAGCTCTGGAAAAGCTAAAACAAAGAAGCTAGTTAGACAGAAATATGTACCTTTGTCACCACGATAGGGAGGGTAAGATGAGAAAAGCCTCTTTATGTGAAATATAGTTCCAGATAAAAGTACCTGCTCAGTTGCTCTCATGTACCTTGTCTAGGACAATTTTCTCTCATCTTTTCCGGGAAAGCTCTTGTAGGAGGCTCAGGACAGCCGGGTCACTCTACAGGAAAAACAAAAAGGTCCAAAATATGTTCTAAGAAAATGAAATCCTTGAAATTACTTAGTCAGACAAGCAGCAAGAATTCAGGATCATGTCTCCAGAATATTTTTATTATGTATAAAACAAATAATTCTGTGCATCAACGTAAAAGCAAATTTTAAATATTATAGTAAGACTAGGAAGCTGTTGGCTTGCAATCTCGGGAGTCTGTCGGTGAAATTCAACTTGCTCGTGCGCAGAGGGCAAGAAGAGACTGAGGAAGGGGGCAGGCCGCTCCAGGTTAGAAGGCGGCAGGGTCAGCGGCCCGGGAATTTCAGGGGAGGCCTGTTTCAGGCGGCCGCAAACCAGATCACCCCACCAGCAAGCCAGAATCCTAAGAGTTTATACAAGTTGAGGCTTAACAGGCTTCAGTCACATATACAGCCCGGATGATCTCAACAGCACATTACTGTCAGGCTGGGTCCTTCCAGTGGCTCCCAGCATGAAACAATGGGGAACCTGCACTTCAAGAACAGTGGGCTAAAGAGCCTCTGATTGCTGGGATCCAGTCTGTGAGTCAGCGGGCAGGCCTGTCCTCTCAAGGGCCCCTCCAACAGAACAACTAAATGAAGCAAGGTTGGACTGAGAGGTATAGATTGTTCATCAAGTTCTCTTGTTTGTTCTTGATTTGCACTAGACCTTACACCCACAGTGCCTTCAGAGTGCCTGGCTCTTTATTAAGTCCTCAACAAATATTTGCTAAATGGTGAATTTATAAATACAACAGGTAAAAGACATCTGGAGAAAACAGTATTTCAATGTGATAATTATAAATAGTTGCTACTATGGGCACAAACTCAGCACTTCCTAAGTACTTGTCAATAATAGCTTCCCACCAAATGTTCTCTTTCTCATGGGGGCTACCCTGCTGTATCACTGACAACAGAGATTCATTCATTTATTATTCATTGTAGAACGAATCACTGTGATCCCTTTTACATTTTTTAGAGGTGATATTAGTAAATGAAAATTTCAAAACCTTCTATTTATTTCCTTTTCCAGTTTGAAAAATCAGTTATAGATAACTCCCTTAATTAAACATGCATACATATAAAGGAAATGTGTTGTTTTAACGATAATCACCTTGTTAAAAATGGAAAACTCAGAAAATTACTAATTGCTTCTCATTCACTTTGCTACTCATTTTTTTTACCTACTATGATTTTAGATATAAAAAGAGCCTTTGCAGAAGCACTCTCAAATTAACAAAATTCTTTTTTTTTTTTTNNCACTGAGCCACGCCGGCTGGGCTAACAAAATTCTTACAAAATTGTGACCTAACGAGTACTTCTGTTAAAGGAGGATCTATTTATGAAGCAAATCATTTTTTCACTCTATTTGTAGAAAACTAGGCTTTCTGTATTATATTCCAAATAGTTTCTGAGAGCTACTGTTTATTTAAAATCAAAAGTAATTAAAATTTATCATCCTGACCCCTTCAGAAACTCCCTAAGATCAGTTTACCTGTTTCCCACAGGCCATGAGGGTCTTTACTGAAAGACAGTGAGAAGAGTATTAAACATTCTTGTTTTACATTTTACTTATTATTTACAGTTATAATCTATAACATAGACTGGCAAACTTTTTCTGTAAAGGGCAAAATGGTAAATATTTTAGGCTCTAAAAGCCATTTAGGCTCTGTAACAACTATTAAACTTGTCACTGTACAGCAAGAGCAGTCATAGACAAAATATAAATGATTTAAAGTATATCTGTGTGCCAATAGAACTTTATTTACAAAAACAGGTGGAGAAGTGGATTTGGCTTGTGAGCTGAAGTTTACTGTTCCCTGATATATAGAATATTTAAATTTATAATATGAGAAACAGCTGTATTTCTATCTGCAAATTTTAAATTTATAAAGGAGTTCTCTGAGCCTTAAAATTATTGTCTATTTGTCAGGCTTACATCACTAGACTATTTCTAAAGGGTAAGGACCCTTTAGAAAGTTAAGGACCTTTAACAAAGTCATATTCAACTCTCTATTTCTTTTCCTCATTGAAAAGCATTTTTTCATTTTCAAAGTTTTGTGTCTATTTTTTACTTTCAGATGGCATCTCAAAGATCAAAGATTCTTAACAATTTGAATAATGAAGCATAAACTATATAACTGAAGAAGTTTCAATCTTTTCTTTCCAAGTAAATAAATATTTAACCAACCTTCTTTACAAGATGTATTAGATTGAGCTTTATCTAGATCCAACCTTTAATTTATTACTCTCACTATAGTTGGAAACACGTCATCTTCTATAGACTCAAGACTTTCAACTCCAGCCACACAACCTACAACTTTTCGGCTCCACAAATTATTTTGCCGCTGGCCCGGTCTTGTGTGTTTCACTTTCGATATTAGGATTTGGGGAGTGAACTATCTCTGTGGGCTCTGATACTTATTAATTTTCTTATTTAAACTTTTTTCTGGTGAACTGTTCTCCTCAACCGCAACGGTTGCGCCTTCCTTTCATGAGCTCGTCTCCAAAGCACTGATGTCTTCACCACTAACTATGCTGTGAAACGAGGCCTTTCTATCCTTGCATAGGGTGGCCAGTTCCTGGGACATGAATGGTTCAAGATGCCTTAATGTTGGGTTATAGGCATCTGCTGGGGCTTTTGCTATTTTATTTGAAATTCCTTATTACTAACTTATTTATATCATCTGAAGATTCTTTTTTTATTGGTCATATCTTCTCCCATTCAAAGCAGTAGGAGCTGGTTCAGCTGTGGAGGAAAAAGAAAAAGAGAAAGAGAGAAGAAAAGAGGAGGGGGGAGGAGACAAAGAGGGAGAATAAGAAAAATTATTATCAATAAAAACAAGAAAGAAAAAGAACCTTGCAGTGAGACTTCAGCATGGTTTAAAGGAGTCTCTCTTGAATAATTACTGAGTGGCCTCGTTCCTCCAGACAACATCCCTATGGTTTTTTAAACAAATGTTGACACTTTTTTGGTAGTTGAGATAACTTTCTGAAATTACTGGTTTCTCCAAAGAATTTTCCTACAGAGAAAATATTGCCTTAATCGGTTCAAAATAATCTGCTCTGTTGCTATGATCTTTTTGATGTGTCAATTTGGCTAAGCTACAGTCCCCAGTTATTGAATCAAAAATTATTCTAAGTATTGCAGTGAAAGTATTTTGTACATGTGATTAAAATCCACAATCACGCCTGGCCGGGCATGGCTCAGTGGTTGAGCATCGATCTAGGATCCAGGAGATCAAGGTTCAATTCCAGGTCAGGGCACGTGCCCGGGTTGCGGGCTCGATCCCCAGTCGGGGGCGTGCAGGAGGCAGCCCATGGATGATTCTCATCATTTATGTTTCTTTCTCTCTCCCTCTCCCTTCCTCTCTGAAATCAATGAAGACATATTAAAAAAAAAAAAAACCCCAATCAGTATAATTTAAATAGGGAGAATATCTTAAATAATCTGGCCGAGCCTGATTCAATTATTTGACAGGCCTCAAACACAGATGCTGGTCTGATGAACTTCTGCTTGTGGACGGCAGCTTCAGTCCGTGCCTGGGAGCCGCGCCTGCCCTTCCTGATGGCCTGGCCTATGGAGATTGGATTTGCCTTGATAGGCCGCACAGTTGCAAAGGGCAATTCCTCGCATCACATCTCTCAGTCTATATCTCCTGCTGGTTCTGTGTCTGTTTGAACCCTGATTGATACACCTGTGTAGCATTTCTATTTTTATATTACATAATAAATTAGCTGTGTGGGTTAGAGTTTAGTTAGTTAAGAAATGCATCCCAGAGAAACTATTTGAACCAACAAACTTCAGTGCCATCATAAAAACACTGTCTCAAACATAACATTTGTATTCACTCCCTTTATCTACCTCCTTCTGTCTTATACATCTAATTATTTTACTGTCACAAAGCAAAGGCAAGTTGCAACTCAAATATGTTCAAGTGCATACAACTTGCAAACTGAGTATGTACTTCTAGTTCACTTCCTACAGTAACTCAAGTAAAAATATAATATAGTAATAAGACATGTATTTTTATTACATATGTATATATACATATATAGTGCATATATAAAAATATATTTATATGTGTGCAGACTATGTGTTTAAAAATGTGTATATAATCTATAATATATATGTATATAATCATGTGTATATTATATATCTTATATGTATTATATATAATTCTCTCTCTAGAGAGAGAATTGATTCTACTCTCCTTCACATTCTATCCTATTTCTGTTACTCCTTAGAGCAAAAGATCTTTCAACAGAAATCTCTATTTGTTTACAATCTTTCTTCTTCTGTTCTTTTCCAATAGTTTTATATAACTGCCAGCAGGGTTTGTTGCCAATATTCTACCCAAACCACTGCAATTAAGGACGTGAATAACTTCCACTTGATACCTACAATAGTCAATTTCGGGTCCTCATTTTATTTCAGTAAGCATTGAAAAATAAGCGAAAAGTATTAAAACAATTGGCCACCAAATATTTGAATAAATATTTTGATTTGCAAAGAATTTAAAAAAGCAATTATAAACTGCAATTATAAATTGTTAACTTTGCACATTAGCAAACCTTTTGTTTTCAATAATGATTTCTACTTTTCACTAAGTACATAACGGATATATAATAAATATCATTACCTGACATGAGAAAAATGAATGAATTTTATAGCAATGTGTACTATAGTGGGCATGTAAATTTTGGAGTCCTTATTAAAAGTAATTAAAATGTAGAAATGAGGAATCTTAAAATATTTATAATTTGAATTTAATAAAATTGTATGACTAACTATACAAATAATGTTCATTAAAACATTTTAAAAAGCAAAAATGAAAATAAAATCAAGTATCTAACATACTCAGTGAAGAGTGGCATTAGGTAAAAAGTATACCAATGAAAAAGAACAGCAGTATTCAGGTGGAAATGAACTTGCTATGTTCAGAAACTAAATGAAG